GTCGATGCATAGCTCAGCTAGGGGACTTAGAGCGCTGATTTTACCTTCAGTGCCGTGCTCGTTCTGATGGCATTGTAGCTCACGGGGAACTTATCAGCCTGGTGCTTGCAAGGGCTGCAAGTAAGATGCAAGATGTCGTGGCATGAGCAAACATAGTGTCCTACAGCGGTAATGATCGAGACCTTGGGGTCTGTTCGGAGCCACTTCATTATTTGAGTCAACATCTGTTGTGTATTTCCTGACATTGGGGAAGCATCCGAAGGCAGCCTTGCTAGCTACCGGCTACCGAGATGAAGCAGGACCCAGCTGCAAAAAGGAGGCAACCAGTTCACTCGATGTTGCTAGCAGTAGCCAACACGTGCGTGTGTGCCGTCAGATCCTGTGTCCACATATGCACAAATCCTATACGCATTACTATCCTGCCCAGGTCGCTTCATGGGCCGGCTGAAGTTCAAATCTCGCGCCCGCCGGGCGCGCAGCAGGAAAGACAAGAAGTGCAGTCGGCCTGGCGTGTTTGCTGTTCTTGCCTGCCTGCACCATTGTGCTGTTTGCTCGGGGTTGGAGTCCATGCTTGCATGGGTATCACGTCGGCCCTCAGCCCTGTGGTTCGCCTCCCCCGCCCGAGTGCTCGTGTGCTGGGAAACCATGGTGCCGGTAGATGAGCTGGTGTTCAAGCTCCTAGCCTTGAGGGCTCCAAAAGCCGCCCGGTGCATACCCATCAAAGTTAAAACAAAGCTAGAGTAGCAGCCTTGTACCTTGGCAAACTGGTCTTCTGTGTGTCTGGGAACGCATGCAACTCAGGACTTCATTGCTGTGGTGCTTCTTACTATGTGGACCTCTGGCCTCTACGACCTCACGCAGGCTGGGTGGACACGGCCGTGTGCAAACACTGATGAACAACCTAGCCTCACACATGGCACGTGCTTGTGTGTGTGTGTGTGCGCGTGTGTGCACCCCCATGTGCATGCAGTGCTTCGAATGGATCGAGTACTTTGCTGGGTCATCTCGGTGCACTTCAAAGGTGCGATTGAAAGGGTACACGGGTGCCCGCTTCGACAAAGCCTATCACACTCCCTCCTCGGACCGCCCTCACTCATCCAATTTTATGGATATCAACACTTGCTCCGGCTTTGTGAGACCCAGCCGCAACCAAACCCGAGCCCCAATATAAACCTCTAGCTAAGATTCCGAAGTGATGTCTGAGTTTCGCGAATGTGACATTGTAGCTAAGGCTAGCCATAGTGACTTTGCTGAAATGCAAACCGCACTCTTTCGCGATATGGCTGGGCATCAAATGCTCCTCCTGGACAAGCATCAACCGAGGGACCTCCATGCGATCTGCTTGCGACCCATGGGGAGATAGAGGGAAGCCTTCAGTCCGAGAGGCCAATAGGATGTTGGAAAGGACAGGCTTGGGGTTCTTCTTGGAAGGGCTATATGGTTATAGTTCGGTTTGGAGAGCTTAGTAGGGGGTATCCGGGGTTGCCATTATAGCTACTGAACCACTTCAGGAGCTCGTGCCTGCTACTCTTAGCTGTCGCCTTGGGTGGCTGTGTCGTTCTGGAGCAGCCGGGCGGATCACTGCTGGAGTTTTATCCTAGTTTCCGCTTTGTTTTGGCGACACTGGTCAGCCAAGCTGGTGTGGGAGCCGCGGGAAGCTTAGTGTGATTGTAAGGCTTGCTGGAGGTTGCGAGGTTGTTCACGCAATGCTTGTTCATGTAGGTAGGTAGGTACCAGGTAGCTAGGTAGGTAGGTAGGTAGGTAGATAGATAGGTCACAGCAGGTGTAGGTAGGTAGGTAGGTAGGTAGGTAGGTAAGTAGGTAGGTAGGTAGGTAGGTAGGTAAGTTAGGTAGCCAGGTAGGTAGGTAAGTAGGTAGGTAGGTAGGTAGGTAGGTAGGTAGGTAGGTCGGAGGCTTATAATCCTGGCTCCTGGAACTAGCTTACCCCAAGACCCGATAAACTCCCAAAGCTATATAAAACAACCTTTTCGACCAGGTCTCGAGAGTCGGATGGTGGATGGGTCTCTACGGAGGCTGGTGCCCGAAACGGCAGTACGCGTATTCCAACTCGCGCCACGTCAGGCGGCTAGATTTGGGAGCACTCAAAAAAACCAACCGACGGCGCCTCAAGGGCAAGGGGAAACCCTCGACAGTAGCAAGGCGGACTCGNNGTTGCTTATACCGGCACAAAAGACTTGAAGTCGACAGAGCCGCTGCACTAAAACTAGCATCCTTGTTATAGACTAGATTTAGAAGAGAGATCGAAGAGCTAGTTCCCGAAATGGTACAAGCTGCTCGCTGCATGTGTGTTACTCTACATGTTGTATGGGCACCGCACCTATACTATCTACACATATGTGTACTGGTTGTCACACATGCTGCGATCAGATTGAACCGTTTCCATTTGTAATGCGTCTGCTGCTTTGAAGATTTGAGCTGGGGCTCTTTGCGTTCTTGACTAAATTGTGCTTCGGGGGCCACATATACATCTATATATACGTAGCTTTATAAGGTTTGGTTTAGCTGTGCTTCTTTTGCTTTGAGAGCAACTGGCTTTCGTCACGGTGTGGGCTTGATACCATTCAATCAAACAAACATATATATATATATACTCGGGAGTTATGCCTCGTACCACTTAACCAAGGAGCCACCTATTCAGTTAATTAGGGGTCTATAGGCAAATAGAATCGTCGTGCTCAGGATCTATCCACTGCCCTTCGCCGATGCGGTGGCGAACATATTCCAGGACTTGAAGTACTCGGGTAAGGGTTGCCCGACAATCCCAGAAACCGGTCTTGCATCTGGCCTCCAAGCTTTCAGTTCAGCAGAGACACCAGCGGATGTACAGCAGCTCTTTCGCCAGGCAGACCTTGAGTCTGTCTACGATTACTTGCGAGGGGGAACCCATCTAGAGATGCCTCCGGAATGGAGGCCCCAGTTCCCTGTTAGGGCCAGAAAGGCTTCCCGAAAGAGAAATTTCAATTAGGGGGGAGGTCGAGTTCTGTTTGGGTCGCAGGAACGGAGGAAGCCCCGAGTGTGCTCTGGTGCACCATACATAAGTTTGATCATAGAGGCTTTATTTGGGCGTTATTTTGCGGTTTTAGTGCTTTTAAACAGATTCAAGTAAGTTTTATCAGCTAGAACATAGGTTATTATAATAAAAACCCATAAAACAGCGTGGAAAACCCACAAAACCCCGCCAAAAACCCATAAGTCCTAGGCAGGAACCTGGTTTTTATCCAGAACCCAACTTTCCAGAACCCATCTTTAAACGTCGGGAACCCATGTTTAAGCGTCGAAAACCCATAAAACCCCGTAGGGCAAAAGTAGGTCTTTATACCACGCCGGGTTCTACGTACTTGGCTGGTTTGGTTGCTCGCGGAGGGGTTTCCTTCGACACCTGTACGGCTTTACGTACCGAATTAGTGAACGTAGCTGGTCGATTGTGTCAGCAGACACTGTCACCGCCGGCCGAAAAAGCCACAACTCTGAAATCCGAACGGAACCTGCCGACAATTGTTGTTTTATCTGCACACCTGAATCCTGACGTGTGCTCAAGACACTAGCTGTAGCAGAAGGCAGCCAGCGCGGCAGCAGCGCAGCTATGTCGAAGGCATGGAGTTGCCAGACCTTGGCAGCAGGGTATGCTCAGGTGATGCAGGACGCTGCCGATGAGCAGCTTCTTGCTCAGGAGCAAGAGTTGCTGAAGCGGATTCGAGCACTTAGCTGTCGACACAGTATGAATGTTTCTTGCTACAGTATGATTTGAATATTATGGGCATGAGCTTCACAAGCTAGCTCGTTCAATCCTGACCATAGATACTATATGATCTGTCCTCCTTGCACCCTGCACTAAGTTGCTAGAGTCGACAGCAGTGGAAGACGAGCCCGGGAGCTGTGCCCCGCCTTCTGTGGCGAGCCAGGCGCGCGCGGCTTACAGGTCCTCGGTACACCACACACCGTTGCATTGTCACAGGCTGGTGGTATCGGATCTGTGTTTGGATCCACGGATGCCATGACAGTCCCTGCGACGGTCCGGCTGCCACGGTATTAAACATACTTCGCATATGCTCTACGAAGAGAAATTTTTAAATGGGTCATGCCAGGAAGACGAGCTTTCCCAGATGGGTAGACAAGCGAAGGACTCTGAGCAGGACGTATATTCCACGCAAAAACAAAACATGTCCTACGTCCTGCATGTTTCTACTCTAGACTCTGTAGACTCTAGACTACATGCAGTGTTTCGTGCTATGGCTAGGAGCCGGATGGCGAAAACAAGCAGCTTGCTGCAGACGAACCCAGCGAGACGGACGAAGTTGATGGACCTGTTTGTTCTTCCAGACCGCTAAAGCGCAAGCGGCCCAAGACCCGACGTGTACCCTGTCGAGTCATTTTCTGCAACACGCATACCATTCTGGTTTCTCGTTCCGATATTCTTGATTTGGGAGAACCCCTGCCAGGAGCTGCTGCATGAAGCGGCTAAGGCCAGGATCTCAAGGATGACCAAAACAAAGAAGAAGAGGACGGATCTGAATGTGCCGCAATTTGTCATCGACAGATGGAACTCCGGCACAAGTGCCAAAGAAGAGATGGCTGACTTGCTGTTGCAAGTCAACAACGACAAGGAGACATTTTTGTGTGTTGGAGCAATGTGACAGTGCGACTAGAGCCGTGATTCGTTTATCCATCCTTTGTTCTCAACAGGATAAATTCATCACCGAGCTTGAGCTCATCGTTCGCCGCATCAAGAAGTTCGTTCTTCATATCAACGAAGGGTGGTACAGTGAAGCTGAGATGAAATCCGAGTTGAAGTGGTCCCAGTCGGGGGCTTATGTGGGGCGGTTCGTTCTGGGAGTGTTTTTGCAATAGTGCCTTCACGGCCTATCCCGCCCATCCCCGAACACAGGCCATCAGCACGCCCGAAGGCCCCGAAATCAAAGTCCCAGCCAACCCCCACGCCGTACCCTAAACCCTATACAAACCCTATATAAGCCCTATATATATATAAGCCCTACAAACCCTATAAACCCTAAGCCCATCCCCGCTTCCTTGTGCAGGGCAAGGATCAATGGTGCCAAGAAGCTCTGCGAGGGGAACCCGGAACTGAACAGGACTTCGTCTGCACTGTCTAGCAGCTTTATTGGCTTAGGTGATTGGGCGATTATGCAGCAGTATGTTTTCGTAGAATCGGAACTCATATTTGGGCAGGAACAATCAGTATGATGGCGTCAAGGAATACTACGTGACAGTCCGAGAGACAGCACGACATGTTCATGCGCACGAGAACGAGCACACGGAGCGCACCCGGCAGAAGGCCTGCCCCGAAGCATTCCTAAAATCTTAAACGGCCTCATAGAACCCTGCCAAGCCATCTGTAAATCTGCAAACAGGCAGACGACCCCGTCGACATCAAGAAAGATGACTTTCAGCTGCTGGACAAAGCCCAGGCACGAGCTGCTCACACAGGCCGCCACGAAGCCAGTGCAGGCAAGCAGTCTGTTCACGAGGCCTGCTCGAGTCGTGATGCGGAGTGTACATGCAGTGGTTGGGGTCTTTAAGGGTTTTGCAGTAGATGGTTTTACAGCAATTCTCTCTGTGTTCTTGCATGTATGTCTGTATGTATGTA